TGTGCTTTAAGCCACCACTAACACAAGATCAGAGAACAGTTTTGCATTTTAGATTGAGGTAATTTACATCGTTTAAATGCATTTCGACAGTTTTTCATGTGACCCATCACATGGACTTGATTAGGAAAATGCAGGTCAGCGCACTATAATGTAGGTGACATAGCTTTTTACACAATACCGCAATCCAGTGCATTGGAACGAAAACAATGGATTTTCTGCAGTATATGCATTCTGACTGTGCAGGAAAACACAACAAAATACATGGAAAAGGCACATATTGTGGATGAGCCAGTAGCCTGCATAGAACAAGCACCTGCTGTGGATGAGCCTCTAGTAAGCTCTGATGACAAGTTTTATAGTCCCAATACACTACAGCACTTGGATTTCTGCAATCATATTTCTTTGGCCTGTTTTTCACATATAGTTTATGTTTTACTGCAAGTCACTATTTTCAGTAGCAATTAAAGTGAACCCTTACCACCTTTTACTAAAAATCACATTAGCATGCAGCCCCTCATGCTGATTCATTCATTAAACAAAATGTTTTGCTTTTACTTACAATTTTTGGTTTTCCACTTCCTAGTTGAGTGAGGCACTGGTGATGTAGTCCTGGCCTAACAGATGTATCCTTTGAAGACAACATCACCAATACCTTCCTGGGAAATCTAATTTGTAAACAGCCAAATCTCACGAGTTCTCTAGGAAAAGGCATTTCCAGGAAGTAAAAGGCGAATAATTAATCTGCCCTTAGGCCCTGTTCACACCAAGGCTTTTGTCGCGTTTATTTTTCTGCACTGAAAAGCTCAAAACAAGAAATCCCATTCACTTCTATAGCCCCCGTTCACACTTGAGCGCAGTGTTGCACGTAAAAAAACGCCCATACCTGGAAAAAGTACATGAGCTTTTTTTTTGGCCAGATCAGCGCAACCTGTCCCCATAAACTCAATAGGAATTGCTTGAAAACACGCGTTGCAATTGTGGTTGAGCGTTTTTGCACACATTTTGCCCATTTACATGAATGTGACAAATCTGCTCATAAAAACGTGCGACTTTATATACGTGTGAAAACGCGCGTAAACCACGCTAAAAGAAAAAGTGTGGAATCTGCACGGAAAAGCTGTCGCCTTAGTGTGAACGGGTGCTAAAAGAACATAGCCATAGTGAGAAGAATGGGGAGGAAAAGAAAAAATAAAGTATGCATAGAATACAAAGCCGGCAATTATCTAGAAGTACGAGTTTGTAGATTGTCATTACTAAATATTTCTAAAAGGTGTCTTCACTGTCATTTTTAAGATAAGGGTGAAGAACATCTTTAAGAGTTACATATGTTGCACGCATTTATTCTTCAGTTACACAGTGTAGGAAGGACAACTTGTATCCATTGAGTGGCAACCTTGAAGCTAAAAATTAAAAATAAAAATATTAGGTTAACTGGTCCTTTGGGGATTTATAAGAGCATATGCACACACAGGCTACAAGCCGCCACAGGCAAAGGCATCTGAAACTCTGAAATCCTGAACACGTGCATTTTGGAAAAATAACATGCATTTCAGATATGTTTGCAATGATGGCATCTTCGTAAGAATTTTCTTTTTAGCACTTATTTAAATTAAACTTGAAAAGGAATACAATCCAAATACATGAATGGCACTCGTTACGGGCTTCAGATATATTAATGGGTTTGGCTACAAAATAGATTAAAAAAATAAAAATGTGTCACATATGAAAGTAAAAACAAGTGTGCCCTGGCACTTGTGCACATGGCCACTTATACATTATAAAATGATTTGAAACACAATTTGCTGACAGCAATGAACTCTGGCAGGGCAGAGAGCTGCGCATTGTTTTTCTGATCCCTGGTGGCATTCAGTTTTTATGACCTAGCTTGTCTTATTCACGCATGTTTTTTATATTTACCTGGACATATTTAAATTCAAAATATCAGTTTCATAAAACAGCCAAATAAAGTTAGTTATGTTTAAAAATGAAAAAGGTCTCCTAGAACTAATCGTACATCTTCGGAGGATATCCTCAATATTTGTCCAGAGCCCCGGGGTTAATCTTAGATAAACAGACACGCACTAGGTAGTCCTAGTGGTACATAATATATTAGATGTAAATAACACTGGTCCGTGTATAATCATCAAGGAGTAAAAAGTGCAAATATCAGACAAGCAATGTGTATGGCAATCTTTCATTTGGAACTACTGGCAAGTGCAATTTGTCTCTGGCAGTTTTAGTTTTTCTGAGTCTGCCCTGTAATTTAGTTTTTTTTAATCTCGTGATCCAGCCAGTAAACCTGTTTTTCTACACTTCACTAACAGGCCAAGCTGTCTATCAAACCTACCGTGTGGTACCATGCGCTAGGTGTGTTTTGCTTGCTTGCACTACTTCTTTTCATCGCATCACAACACACAGTATGGCGGTACCATGTGCTGTGCTGCAAGATGCATTAGGTTGGCATTCAATCATAGCATTGTGTTTAGCCTCCTAACTGGGGTGCGTAGAACGGTCAGCTTTTATTCATATGCCAATGGGAAAAAAATAATGTTGTAACTGCTTAATAAGTGTTAGCTGAGGTTGGGCTATTATTTATTTGCATCAATAAAATGCAATGTCTTCTTATTATACAAGTACTCCTCCTCCATCATACTTAGCAAAATTACAATTACAAAAAAAAACACCTAATAGATATATTTTTCTTCAGCCTTTGTACTGCAGAAGGTGACGTCAAACTCCTTCTGATGAGATCCCAGGTAACACAGTAGCCCAAAGTTTGTGAGATGTTGTGTAAGCAAAGTGCAGAAGTGTCTTCTCACAAGATTTGAGCTACTCAACATACCCCAAGATCTCACCGCAAGGAGTGATGTCGACTAGGCGCCACGGCTTTGTCTTAATTAAGGATTGTTTTTAGAGTTACCTGACCATGTATACATTCAAAATGACAGTCTTATGAAAGAAAAATATCCCACAGCAGCATAGACCAAAATAAAATGCTTTTTATTAGTAGAGTATGGCCAGTTTTAGTTTCCGTCTGTGTCCCTGTTGCAGATACTCCCTCAATTCCTGTCTGGTGAAACTATTCTGTCACCATGAATGGCACGTTGGATAACAGTAAACAGAGGTTTTAAATCTTCTCCAGTCTGTTGAAAAGTGAAAAAGCTTTCTCTGCGCATATACTTTAAAACTAGCGACAGACTGCAGCATATCATTTTTGATTTTGCCTATAGCTCCTCTTTAATGTCCATGCCCCAGCAATCTCACCATCTCCTAATAACACATTATCTACCGGTACATTACGACAGCAAAGTCTGTCTACACAATTAGATGACAACATCAGCTACATTAAAACACTGATAACATTGATCATCAAGTCAAACAGTACTTGTTCATACTTCTGCATACCATTTCTCACAGACTAAGGCGAGAGCAGGTTCTTTAGTCAACCTCTATTACTCATTACAGAACATGTTACTGTAATTATTGTCTGTCTTTATAAGTCATTTTCCAGCATGATCCCTTACATTAAAGGAGAATCCACTCACCTGATTTCCACTCACCTCATAGTTCTAATGGGGGAAAACCACAAGAAAACATTGCATTATATGCAGTCTGAACAGTGCAAAGCTGAATGGACAGGTTGAAAATATTTTTGGACATCTCCTCTGACCCCCTGTTAAAGGCACACCCCAGCCAAACTCTGATGTCAAACTCACTGAGGAACACAGACAGCTAAAATTTTAATTCCAGCATCCATCTTTTGTGCCTGGCTGCTCTGCAAGCTATATGCCTTTAAATGCAGGCACTCTCATCAAACAGCGGTCCCGAACCTGAGCTTGCAAAATGGTGCGTGTGTAGGGTGTTCTATGGTTCCAGCGCTGGCCACCCTATGATGTCACTGCAGCCTTGCCTATGTGTACCAGACTAAAAGAGTTAGGTTGCACAGAATCATGACAAAACACTGAATGCCAACCAATACGCCCTGTGGGAAGCCTGACTAATCTGCCTTCAGGATATTAGATAACGCTTTAAAAAGGTAAGGTGTATGGGCTTTCTAACATAAATCACAGTGGCAATAGTCAATAGCCACTAATTTTACTTGTTAATTTTATATTTTCCCCACACTGCAGACCAACCTGTCCAACAAAAGGGATACGGACATGAGTTAGGAAAAACTGTGAGGTGCCAAGCATGTGTATGGCAACCACCTTTTATTCCCAAGGCGTAAATCCTTGAAAAACTGCTGCAGCTGCTCACGTTGGGCCAAACTTTGAAGTGCTGCCAGGTGATTGTACAGCAGTCACTTGTGGTTGCAGCAATTTAAGTACCCCTGGCAGTCTGAGAGTTTCTCCAACCCCTGTTACTTTTGCTGGTCAGCTTGGTCTGTATGTACACATGGAGAAAAACCTGAATAAAAAGGTATGGGAAATTTAAAAAAAGTAATTAAAATACAATGGTTTTTCAAATAGTGGCGATTTACACCAAGCAGTATGATAATGCAATGACAAAGCGCTTGTACACACAGGTGCCCAAAGCAGTGAGTTCAAAGCATGTTCCCATCAAAAAGAGAAAGCTAATAGAGTACTAAAAGTCTTACAGTTCGATACTCATGTACTTTGTGTAGGCGGGGCTTTGCTTTCATCACAGTAAAATGAACAGGTTCTATAAACGTTAAAATGTAACTGTCTTCCGCAAAACCTTATTCTCTGTTTTAAGAGGAATACTGAAGCATACTGAAACATATTCACTTGACTCGTGTCTTTTTACACTAGAGCTGGATATATGTATTAGCATGGAGGTCCAAATAAAAGAAGAGGGAAAAAAATGGAGATGTACCCCATTCCAACCAGTCATGTTCCATCTGTTATCTTTTTAGTGCATGAAACAAAAAGGAAAAAAAATATATGACTGGTTGCTGAGATTCCACATTTCCAGTGTTCCTTTTCTCCACTACACACAATGTTACTACGAATGTTAACTTAAAGGATGGGAGTTCTTACCTGTTTCCAGAGAAAGGCATCATCAATGTTCAGCCTCCAAGATATGATAAGATGCAGAGAAGACAGGATGACTCCACTCAGCACTGCCGCACGCATGCGTACAGGAAGCAAAGTGTAGATGATGTAGATGAAAAAAACACTCCACCAAATCCCTTCAGAGGCACTACGTGGGGTGACCATAAAGACCCCAAGAATTTGTACCGCAAACAGGACGGCAATAACAAGGTAACTGACAATCCACATGTAGTCTTGGTGAAAGCCATTGCGGTTGCAGACCACCATGAGTGACAGAAACAAGGCCATGGCAACAGCAAGTACAGAAACATAAAGTACCTGGGGCTCCCCATGAGTGCAATGAAAAATCAGCATAACCAGACAGACCAGTACCAGGGCCCCCATCAGCATAGTTAGACTGCTCTGGTTCATCTGGAAGAAATAGCGTTGGTACAGCCGTTCCAGTTTGGTAGACTGAAATTTCTTTGACTGGAACACTTGTAGAAACCTAGTCCAGCACTCCTTAGGGGTCAGATGGTGCTCTCCCTCCTCCATGCCAACAGCTTCCATTGAACCAGTTTTGGAGACCTTGACTTCCCCGTCCTCAAAACCAAGGGCAACGGATTTGAGGCCGAGGTCACCTCCTGCCCCTTTCTTTCCGTAATGGTCCTCTTGCCAAGTGCAACGGAGGCTAAAGTTGTTGCGGCTGTTGCGCTCCATCTCAGGATCTTGTAGACAGCTCATGTAACGGGGACCACACAAAGATGTATTCTTGCGTTTGCCCTTCTTTCCATTGCGCTCCCCCCATGCTGTCTTACGTTCATCCACTTTGGGAACCAAGATACCACTAAACCACGACATTTTGCTGTAAAACAAAATGAAACACTGGTGAGACAAACTGTTAAAAGTTTACTGGTAGCTTTATTGTTTGGACTGAATAGTTGCAAAAAATTTGGCTAGTGCATCATAAAATAATTAACATTACTTTGACACACCTTTGTTGCACTCAGAATTAACTAGTGGGAATTTTTTTTTGAGTATCTTAAAAGAATATATACATACATAAAAGGTCCGTTTTAAATAGGTTTCTTCCTCATAAGAATTGTATACAGTAATACCTTGGTTTACAAGTAACTTGGTTTGAGAGCGTTTTGCAAGACAAACAAACATTTCTGAAAAAAGTTTGCCTTGATATACAAGCAAATGTCTTGCAATAAGAGCAAAATTTTGTAGAAAAGCGCCACCGGAATAAGGCTGTAGGCAGTGCGAGCGATGAGACTGTTTAACGACAATGCAATGTCCCATTGGATAGATTCCTTGCTAAGGTTTCACAAAATGAAAAAGAAATTGAGTCAAGAGATAGCAGTGATTCCATTAGTGAGAGTGAAAGTTGTCCTGCACAATAATCCTCCTCTCTCTTGTCCCCCTCACACCAGCCACGAAGGTACCGGTAATTGTTTTATTTTTCTTTATATTTTATACAGTATTATATTACACTACAGTATTGTAATCATTTTTATATGAATATTTTTGGGTTGTGGAACAAATCATCTGAATTTCCATTATTTCCTATGGGGAAATTCGCTTTGATATACAAGCGCTTTGGATTACAAGCATGCTGTCAGAACGAATTATGCTCTTAAACCAAGGTATTACTGTATTGTCTAATGAATTAACCTAAAGAAGGTCCCAAAAACTTACATCTTTAATAATGTAAGTTAACCAGTAAAGGGTGTTATTTAAACTTCAAACCTTTATCGAAAAAGTACAACCATGTTGAGTTTAATGCAACTCAGAGGGGTGTACTAAGAGATGGCAGGGAACAACCACAGTCACATATGCTTTTAGTCACCCTTGTAGACCTGAAGTCTGGCCATCTAGAGTTACATTTTCTTCCAACCGCAATGTGTTGTTGAGCACAGCAACCAATCCAATTCCAAAATATTTTTTTTTTTTTTTACAACCCAATATAAAATGTAGGCTGGCGTTTCATAAGGACAACACCAACATTTTCACCATTGAACTGGGTAACTTAGAGTCAGAATATCTGTATTGTATTGTATTTTACTGTACCCCTGTAAAACTCTAATAAAAATATTGCAACAGAACTGGGTAACTATGGAAGCCGTCATTGCCAACCTCCTTTGGAACTATTAGTGGTCTTTACCGTCATGTTGATCCAGTGGCTTTAGCACATTTATTCACAGACATAAGTATGCAAAATATGACAATAAAAAAAAAGTATGGAAATACCGTACACAGAATTAGTTTGAAATAAAATAATCAGGATTCTCAAAGACGCCACAGCACAAATCCTATAAAAAACAATAAAAATGATTTACACTGCTATGAAATATACATACCTCTCCTGACTGTGTGTTGGTAGCTTCCCAGAAGCTCCTGGTTGGGTAGGCGATACACGACATTTATTACGTCGGGCGGAGAGGTGGGGAATGACCTCTACTTCAGAGCTGGCTAATTCAATGACATTGGGAGGGAGATCGGGAGAGATTTCAATTGGGCACCTGAAAGAAATGAATGAAAAAAACAATGTGAGATAATAACCTGTGTAATATAAAAATATACAGGTAAGTATATTAATAAAAATCAGTCAACTTTTCACATCAGTTCTAGATGCAGGCTACCTATACTGTACTGAATTTCATGGGATGACAAATGGTTGCATCATTTCAGAATAGGAACATCTATACAGCTATAAAGAAATCGACACCGACATAATTATACCCGAGAACTCTGAATATGTCTTAAACTTTAAGACATTATTTTTAGTGGCGAGATACTCCTAGACAGAGGTACACAATATAGTAGTATATGTTCAAGCCGCTGAAGATACACTACAAACTGATTTTCATAAGCTAGGTTTTCCTAATAATAATGAAATACATGGAGTTACATAAAAGTATTTAAAGTTAATACTGTGTGGTGGCCAGAAACATTTACAAGAAATACAACATTGTATTATGATACCGTTTACAGCTTAAACAGTTTCATCTGTATCTACATTCTTTGAACCTATGATCGGGTGATGATCCAAGGCACAATCAGACACGGCCATCCTAGAGTCATTTAATGGAATAGTAATCAGACAGGTTAAAATATTGTGCGATTGTTAGTATCTTCCATCTAATAAGTTGGTACCAGAGGTGGAGCATGTTTTACCCACCCTGCTCCAAAGGATAATCATAAATGGCGCATGAATAGCATGTGGCTATTTGTATTTAGTAACCTACTGTACTAAAAAGATATAGATGTGCAAAGGGAGCTGAATCATGCAAGCATGTCTGGCTGACTTCTTCAGTCTGTGCCTAGCCTTAGAATTCTGGGTCAATGAAGAGCCCTTTCAGTAGGTTCACAAGAACACACTTCCCATGTAGTCCCCTCCTTGATGCAAGCCTATCCTGAAATATGTTTGGAAGTCTACACTTATCATATCTGGCAACGAGTTGCTCTATGCTTGATTAACCCTTGTGGAAAGCCATGTCTCAATCACACTGGAACCAAAGGCGTGAAGTGTATAAAAGGGTGCACTACAGTTATCCCTACATGTGAATAGGGACTGCAGTGTCCTTCACAATGCTGTCCTTACTACCACACAGTCCCCTTTGAAGCGAATGATGCTCCATTTACAAAACACAGAGGGGACGGTTAGAGCAGATGTCCTAGAAAGAGACCATATCACTCTCCTTCGATTCCAGCTCAAACATTCCCTGGGACTCCTGGTCCTGGCTCTCTCAATTTTACAGCTGTTAAACACAAAAATCACAAACCCATCATTACCAATAAAGTGGTGTCCAACATCTCGAAAATTCAACAGAATTTGCAGTTTCAACAAACTGCAACAGACATATATACAATTGTTGGTCATCATGTTGTCCGCACAGGATTCTCTATAATGTAGTGCAAAAAAATATTTAGGTAGTCCAACTGCTAGACAAGGACACCTTTCCTGAGTTCCTTTAAATTAGGGCAGAGACTCAAGAAGGCAAAGCCCCCAAGAGATAATAAGAAGCTGCAAGGTAATTAAACTCATCAGCACTCACCTAAAAAGCATTTTCTGTTTAGTACCAGACCTCAAATTCTAACAACTGTTCTAGGGGAGACAAAAAAAAACCTAACTTTCTCTTAGGAGAAAAACATCCCAAAATAGAGAGCACTAAAATGAATAATGAGGACACAATTGAAAAAGCTACAGTATGTCAAATCAGCTGAGTCAACCAGCAGCACTTGCAAAATCTAACAAGGAAGCAGCTGATTATGAATCTCTAAACATCAGTGGACGCACCACATATTGTATGTTGTTACAAACAATGGCAATTCCAGCCATGGGAAATGTATGGAATGGAAGTGTACTGGAAAAAAAATATTCCATGGAGATCTTTCCTTAACACAGAAAAAGTGAATTACCCAGAGCTAGCTTGTTATAATCTAATTATAGGACAACTTAAATTAGGTGGTTTCATGCATTCGTTTATCAAGGACAACCCCAAATTATCAGTTTATCGTCTTTTCTAAAGCTAGATGTATAATCATCTGCTTAGTGTGGAGAAGAACTATACAAAGGAACAAGTAGCTAAAGGAAAGCCATCTTACATATCTCACTTTACTAAAAGATCATTAGGTCAGCCATTCTTTTTTCTCTAAAAAACAACTATATTAGCTTGACCATACACAGTCTGAGAGGGCCAAGTGAAGAAAAATATCAGTGGTGGTCAATTTTGTAAATATAGGGAGTCTTAAATGCTGCCCTAAGGCTGGGTTCACACCTAGGCGTATCGACTATACGCGTTTGTCGCGCGTTTCTACCGCGATTCGCGTTTTAAAAAACGCGCGTTTCCGGGGGCTACCTGGCTGTATCCCAATGGATACGCGCGACAAAAATGCCCCAAAGAAGCTCCTGTACTTCTTTGGGCGTAGGGCGTTTTGTAGCGCTTTCATACGGCCTGTAATACGCCCAGGTGTTGAACCATACCCATAGGAAATAATGGGATTTTGGTGTTCGAGCGTTTTGCAGAGCGTAGGAACGCGCTACAAAACGCCCAGGTGTGAACCGGGCCTTAACGTCACCAACGGGCCACATATAATTTTCAGTAAATGTTATACTTACAGAAAGCTGTCAGACTGCAGTCATGCTACAAGGAGTTGGTTAGAGATTGCAGACATGCTGCAGTAGCTCATCAGAGAATGCAAGCATGCTATTGTAGATGGTCAGGGACTGTGAACATTCTAGAGTGACTTAAGACATACTTCAGGAGACAGTCATAGACTTGAGACACATCATGTGAGACTACTACTACAGGGCACGGCTACTACAGCTTCTTTACAAATCAACGCTGCCATATTTGTTCTCCCTAGAGCACCATTAAAAATTAAAGCAGCATTTTTAGAAGGGAGTTAGCAACTGAACCCCACCCCCATATTTCTCTCAGGAAATGTTTAAATTTGAAGTAAACCCTATAGGTTTACTTTTACACCATATAATACCCTTTGGTGCCTGCTCTCACCTTTAAACACACCCTGAGAAAAACTGGGCATTTCAATTTGCTTCCTATAACTATGCATTTATGCATTTTAGGTCCCTAACAAGTGTGAAGTGTGTACTAAGCCTTTCATACCCAGCAATTGGGAGGTATTTGGCAGGTGTCTAAGACTTTTGACAATTGTTCATGTGAAAATATCTTTAGGCTGTTTGCTGTAATGCCTGACCAGCACTATATGTTAAACTTCCCTACAAACAATGCTGTCCCACGATCTTCACTGTGCAGTCTGCCTGATGCTGCATAGCTTTTAGAGCAGGGGTGGGCAACTCCAGTCCTCCAGCTGTTGTGGAACTAGAAGTCCCATGAGGCATTGCAAGACTGACAGGTACAGGCATGAATACAAGAGGCAGAGGCATGTTGGGATTTGTAGTTAAAGCATAGCTGGAGTTTTCCACCCCTGCTCTAGAGAAGATCTTAAAATATCCTTCAAACTATACCTGTCAGGATGCAGCCAGGCTTTCCATTTAGGTTAATGGAGGTTGTGACATACTTGAATCTTGCTAAAAACCTGCTGAATCTCTTCCAAATTGAATCTGAAGGGTACTTTAAGGGCTTTGGGAAAGCTGCTCAAAGCTTTTTAATGCTCTCCAAATCTGATACTCGTTAGACTAGTGGTCACAAGCAAAGACGAAACAATGCCATGTGCATGAAGCCTCAGAAAGCAAACCACACAGACTTGCACATAGTAAGCCAGATACAGGCATTGCAATTTACCTGAATGTATATAAGTATGCCTCCCTCAAAACACCTCAGGTCACTTTACAAACTAAATGCGCCCAGGGAAAGAAGTTCTCATAGCACTAAGGAGGACCCATCCTTAAAGTGTATGTCCAGTGGGAAAGGGTTACAACCCCTCAAGTTTTTACTGCTGGAAGATCGTTAAAGAGATTTATCCTGAATGCCAGGCACTTCAGGCAGAAAGTGAGGGGAACTCTCCAACAGCAGACACACACACACCCTGCCGCTGTCAGAATACAAAGCACTAGGGGTGCACAGATACCAGTGTCGATACTTGGCATTTTCATGAGAACTACCAGGGTTGCAGCTGTGACAGGGCCCTGGTGCTCCACCACTGTCCCGAAATCATTAGTCTGTAGTGTTTTAGAAAAACTGTCACATGGCACTAAACAGAAATGTATCAGTAATTGGTATATGCGAGTACTTGAGTAGGTATCAGTACTTGGTCTGGAAAAAATGGTATCGGTGCATCGCTAATATGTATGTATATAAAACAAATCATAATTAAAACAGGGATGCACAAATACCAGGAGCCCCGTATGGTCCTAAAAAATGACAGCTGCCTCCTAACGTTTGAGTTATTCTCCAGCCTAGTCTTGGAGCTGAAAAGATATCCGTACTTGCACTTCTACCAAGTATGAGACCTTGCTATCTGTGCATCCCTACAAAAGCACCAGCCGGAAGATCCGTTCATCCACAAAGTTTAGTGTGAATGGAGCAATTTTGTTATATTTGTTTTCGTTCGTTTAACAAAAAAAAAAAAAAGAAGTGTGTATACCCAGCAATACTCTATCTAGGAATAAAGTTCTCGGTTTCACATGTACGTTAAGAAAAAAAATGCAAGCACCTTGCATAGCTTGCATTCAGCTTATTGTACATTATAGGTTCGAGTACTTGATAGAATGAAAAAAACTAAACAAAAAAATGCGTTACTCTACTTGCTTAAAACGAAAAGAATAAAAGGAAAAACATTTTCAATTTCCTCTAAAGAGCTTCGACAACCTACTATCTAACTATAGCGTTCTATTGCATTAAAGCTTATATGAAAAAAAAAAAGGAGTGGGCCATCAACCATGCTACATGTATAGTCCAAGACCTGAAGATGAAGTAGACTAAAGTAATTAAATATTGAATTACAGGGCTGTCCAACTTTTCTTCATTAAATATACTACATGGTATAAGAACACAATTGCAGGCTGCTGTACACCCCATTAACAACATTTAATAGA